GTGTGTGTGTGTGTGTGTGTGTGTGTGTCAGGAATCAGTGACATCTCAGATACTGGGCACAATGGTTAGTTTGCTGATTTATATAAATGGCCCCATCAAACCCTATCAACCTAATAAGATCTAACGTCACATTTTCTTCCTGTTTTGTTTTTCATTCTCACCTTCATAATTGATGCATCCATTAGCGTCTTCGTGTCCCGCCAAGAGCGTCTCCACTTCCTCCTCTGACATTTTCTCACCTGAAAAATGAAACATGAATGTGTTTATTCATATTATATACTTGACTTACACATTGTTTTTCAAAATTACAAAATATGTTAGACATGCAGAAATACAATAAACGCAATACAAAATAAGTCAAATACTAATAGTGTCTATCAAATTTGCAGATCAGATTTCATTCTGAAGATTGTACTATTTTCCCTGTAACAAAAAGTGCTAAAAAGGAGCCAGCCATCTATTTAAGGATGATAAGAAAATGGGACTTGCCTAGCGTGGTGAGGACGTGACGTAGCTCTGCTCCCATTACTGTGCCGTTGCCCTCCTTGTCAAAGACACGCAGTCCCTCCACAAAATCCTCCATGGAGCCCTGGTCTTTATTCTTAGCGATGGCCTGGAACATGGGCAGGAACTGTTCAAAGTCTAGCATCTTGGTGTTCATCTCTGCAAAGAGGATAAGAATAATTAAGTCAATTGTCAGTCTGAGCCGCCATAGAGTTTTCAGGATTTACATTTATCATATACAACTCCAAGCAAAATGTATTTTTGCTCTTACCCTCAGCCTTGGGGTTGCCCAGGACCTTGAGCACCTCAGCGTTGACAGGGTTCTGTCCCAGGGCGCGCATGACGTCCCCACACTGGCTGAAGTTGATCTTCCCATCTCCTGTCTTGTCGAACAGCAGAAATGCTTCCTTGAACTCTGCAGGTTACAAATACATGTGAAAAACACTGTGGAGATAAGCAGACCTGTATGGACGATTAATAGGCATAAGGAGAAATTTGCAAATAGGTGAAAACAGAAATCAGAGCGTGAACAAAATGAGAACAAGCAGACAGAGAGCACAGGTTATGAAAAATGAGACTAAAAATGATCAAGTTTTCTCAGGAGGCTTAAATTTAAAAGACAAAAGACAGGGCACAAAGCACCACATTGACAAGCCTGCTAAGGTTTCCTGTGCCACTCTTGATACTGGATAATAAATGTATCGGTAAACTCATAAAAATAACAAAAAAATAATGATGCATTGCCATGCATTGTTTTAACACACAATTAAACTACATTAATGTGATCACTACTTCATCTGTAAAGAGTGTGGTTCAGCGTTAACAAAAAACTCTGCTGGTTGTCACTGCAAAAAACACTCTGACTTCCTCAAACCAGCAAATAAACTTGTGTTAGTCATCTGGTCAGTCTGACTTATTCACTTCACACCATCAAGGTAAAACTATTTCAATGCGACACTCCATGCTCCTTATATATTTTCTGCAGTATGAACATGCAAACACTAATCGATTACATTTCTAAACACCAAATGTCTGAATAACAAGGAAATGTGACAGCAATGCAGCAGGAATTATATAAACTGTGACTAAAATAACTAGCAATGGAACAAACAGAAGTGGACATAATACTTCATAATAAATAAAGAATTGGCTTTGTTGGGACATCGATTTTTGAGCCACAGTTTGGTTCATATCCCTCCTAACATTTGTTTTTGAAGTGTGTGTGTGCAGGGGCTGTCCAGATAACTGCAGTTGCTACTCTCTCCAAGCTATAGTAAGGTAAGGTAATTGGCACATGTTCATAGTTTTTAAATGCATATGTGTTGTGAATGCTAAAAGCTATCACCCCTATGCTTTAATGTTTTAGCTTTACCTGTTTCAACAAGCGTCTACCTGGCAGACTGTTCTTTCAGGCAGCTTGGAGCATTTTCTTTCCAAACCCTTAAAGTTTCATCTGACATCCCCTCTATTATTATAACAAGTGCTCTTTAGTCAATACGACTGTGAGCTGCTACTACACAGGCAATCCAAAGCATTCACAATAACAAGTAATGAGTGTCTGTGTTGTTGTTTAAGAGGCTTGATCAATAGTCAGCAATGATGCAATCTTGTTGGTGATCAAAAGGTTGATTAACTAGCTTTGATCCTCATAAGGCATTATAGTTCAGCACGACAGCAAAACACAAAGCTCTGCTATGATCTTGCAATCAGGGAGATATAGGGTTGTGTTACACAATATCCGGGTTTGCAAGCTGTTCCTAATTTTATGGGACAAGCTATTCCTCCTTAAAAAGCTCAGGCACTGTTGTGGAGTTTTTCCTGTTCTGAGGAATGTGCCTCTTCCCTTCTGGCGTGTGAGCACTTTTCCCAGCACCATATTTGGTATTAGAGGAGTGGAGGAAAGTAGGAGGAGAGTGAGAGTATGGCCTATTATGTCAACAGTGATTAAACAACCCAGCCCTGGGACAAAAACCATCCACCACTGTATCAAGCACCAAAAAAGGGCACGCGTGTGGAGATGAGCAGCTTGAAAGATAACAGACACAGCTCAGGGCAAACTGACAGCCAGGAATGACTACGGTCTAACAGGACAATACTTATGGGAACAGAATCCTAATGCATGACTGGCCACATACGGTGGGGTCCCCTCTCCAATGGTCTCACACTTTTGGACCCCACAATACAAAAACACTGCAACACATGGTCAAAGCTGGTCAGGAGTATAACGTTATGTGCACAGTATGACTTTGACGAACCAAACGACAGTGCGAAGCGACTCTCATTCACATTTAGAACAATTTGCTTGAACCAAAACCAACATGCAGATCACACCCTGAACACTCCCGAGCTAGGCACCAGTCTTTCTCTGTTCAGGCGGCTCCTCTTCACTGACTTACCATGAATCTGATCCAGGTTAAATTCAATCTGGAAAGGACAAGCAGTTGCAAGTGGAAAGTGATGAAACAGTACGGAAATAAAGGAGGAAACAAACCTAGCCTAACCACGACTACTATGACAGGCAGGTACAGAGAGAGCAGGGTGATAGTGGAGATACAGGGCAAAGTGTCATTTGATACCAAGCGAGAATGAAGGCATGCAAAACAAGCTGGATTCAGGGGGGAGATATCAAAACATAAATTCAGAACTCACCAAGGATTTGATCTTCCGAGAAGTCAGACTGTTCAAAGAGAAATCAGGCTACATGAAGGCTGTGGCTAAGCTAGCTCAGGTTAACCTAGGAGGCCTTTTCAGCACATTTTCTCTTATTTACATTTACCTCGAAACACAAACATTATTTAACTGCACCACATTGAGTCGTGATAAAAGTACACATCGGTGTTTTAGTGACAATAAGCTCGCTGTGTGATTGTTAAGTTTATCCAGCGTACAAGCTAACGTTAGCTTCTCGAAAAGTTGCACTTCCGCTAGCGAAAAGCGAGCTAACTGAGAAAACAAATGAACGGCTCTGCAAAGCTGAGCCATTCTCCCGAAACAACGACCACATGAGCCGAATACACAAGAGCGGCAACAAAGTAGAAAGAGTCTGGGGTCCGGAGACAAACGCACCATGTTCCTGTGGCGGCTGAGGTGTGTCCCGGGCGTCGGCAGAACGAAGAATGTGACGGAGGGTCGAGGCAGTGCAGGCTGACAAAACCCCAGCAGTGCCGTCTGCGTCAGAGAAGCTATCCACCCGAGCTGAGCGAAGACCCGCCTATTTCCTACCCATGGTTGGTTCGGATTTAGTCAGTGAGCGTAATGATTGGTTGGACGTAGAGGGAAATAACAAGATAAGCCAACCAGAGACGTGCTGTTGCGTTTCGCTCACCTCGGGTGGGACAAATAACGAAGGAGGGAAGACGAGACAGCCGCGCTCCATATATAGAAACAAACATTAGGTGTAGTCTGTAGTTCACTGTTAGTTAGTATATTAGTTATTATTTATTAGTTATGTATATTTAAACTACATAAACTTTCCATTCAATGAGTGAGATTACTTTTATATAATCAATGTGTATAATCAGAATTTACAGAGTTGAATTGAATCCACCAAGAAGGCCTCAAAGTTAAAAGCTGTGCTGCTCAGTTTGCTCTTACATGAATGACGGAGGCATTTAAACACTTGAAGTTGCCTTTCATTCATATTCATTCGTTGTATTGCTTATGTCTTTTTCTCTGGGGTGTCTGACCATCAGACATGTTCAGAATAGATTTGACACAAGAATACGGCGATATTATAACGGTGAAAGTATCTTATTTGCAATCTTTGTGGAGAGTTGTGAAAGTATCTGTGTAATTAGATATGTGAATGTCACTTTTTTATTTGTTAGTGTGTAAATTAATCTGCAAAAGTGTTCAGATTTTCAAATGTGCTCCAGAATGTGAACACCAATCTGTAAATGTTTACTGGGATCTGCAAATATGTAGACAGATATATAAATGCGTAAAAGATTTGTACACGTGTAATGCAACAATGTGCAATTGGTGACTGGATGAATGGTTGTGTGTCTCTATACAGTTTGTCAGACCTCATGTGAAATGCCGTTGACATGTCCAGGATCTATCCCACCTCTTGTCCTCAGCTGCTGGCCCCAGCCATCCCATGACCCTCTAAGGACACGGATAATGAATACTGTAAGTATTTGTCTTCATGTCGTCACCCCACCTCAGGTATTTTTTTAAATGTGATTTTGCCACTATCTGCCATTCCTGAGCTCTTCCAGTGTGTGTGGTCTGTCATCAGCTCGGGGG